TGGCATCTTTACTAAGGACTGTTCTGCTCTAACAGTGATGTCTGGACCCTCGTCTTGGCGAAGGCGTGTTGAACCTCCCTCAAGATTTTTTTTCACTTCTGTTCTCAACCTTCTGCTGCCAGCCCTGTGGCGACATCCTGGTTGAGTCCAAACTCCAACTGACAGAGGTAAAATGAGTCCTTCCTTTTTTTTATTGGCCTCATCATTTGGCAGTCCCCAAGCCTTACTCTGAGCAGGAGAAGGTTGTAGGTGAGAGGTGATGACAGGTCTGCCACAAGCTGGGTTTGTGCCCAAGTATGGTCAAAAGCTGACCACTTCAGGCGGGAACTTGGGCAGCTGGCACCTTCAGTGGAGGAGCTGGAGAAGTCGCTAAGAACTCGGAACGGAACTTTTTGGCACCTTTGTTCGGAGACTCCGAGTGGGCGGGGTTTGGTGAGAGAGGCGGGAATGGGGTTTTCCAGGTTATCCAGGGTGAGCTGGAGGCTCCAACCCAACAGTCAGTTTCAACCGTCATCTTAAGACAATCTAGAATCACCTAGACAGAGGGATTGTGGAGACTGGTTGCCCGGTGGACATGCCCGTGGAGGATTGTCCTGAATATTTGATTGATGTGGAAACCCATTCTTGGCAGCATGATTCCCTAGGCAGTGGAGTTGAGCACACCTGCCTGCATTCATCATGAAGGGAGCAGGCAAAAGCACCTTGGCCTAAGTACTGCCATTTTGATTTCAGACTCCATCTTACCTGTAGGGTGAAACAAAGTTCAGGTTCTCAAGCCGGAGGGGAGCTGAGAACTCTCCAATGGCTGACCAACCTCCTCTGATAGAAATAGTTTGTTATGAATCTTAAGTTCTCTAAGACATTATGGCTGTCCTAACAACATAAAAAAGCAAATGAATCTCATTGGTTGGACTGAAAGGCTTACATTCTGTGTCCCTAGTCTTTGATTCCCGATTGGTGAAGATTGTAACTGTATCTTGGCAACCAAAGTTTATGGTTTTTGTGCTTATAATCCCTGCTTCTGCCGCTGCTCGCGACTGACAGGGGAAACAAGGCTCCAGAGTCCTTGTCCTGCGGCTCTTATTGAGAGTGAGTGACCCGATTATGTGGTGATTATTAAAGTCTTTGGAACAGTGTTGTCTGTCTCCTTCTTTGTAGCACGCAGTGGGCCTCCACCTCCTTCCTGAGTACTAGGTGCCATATCGGTCACTTTATAAAATGCTGAAAACCAAACTCAGGATTTTGTGCAAGCAAACCACTCTCCCAAAAGAACTGCCTTCCCGGCCCCCGTAAGCAGCCTGAAGTCTTTGTCTTCACATATCGAAGAATATTTTTTTAAAGGGAGGGTCTTAAGTAGCCCATTCTACACAGTCAAAGATGATCCTCTTGGGGGGCTGAAGAGATGGCTCAGCGGTTAAGAGCATTGCCTACTCTTTCAAAGGTCCTGAGTTCATTTCCCAGCAACCACATGGTGGCTCACAACCATCTGTAATGAGGTCTGGTGCCCTCTTCTGGCCTGCAAGCATACACACAGAAAGAATATTGTATACATAATAAATAATAAATAAATATTTAAAAAAAAAGATGATCCTCTTGAAACAGGGTTTCTCCGCGTAGCCTTGGTTGTTCAGGAACTCTCTCTGTAGACCAAACTGGCCTTGAACTCACAGAGATCTGTCTGTCTACGCCTCCAAGTGCTGGGATTAAAGGCGCGTGCCACCACCACCTGGTTCATAGATGACCTTGAGCTCCTGCAGAGATCACAGGCAGGCAGCACCACGCCCTATTTAGGTACCACTAGGGATAAACCCAGGGTGTCCTGCATGTTAGGCAAGCACTCTGCTAACTGAGCCACATCCCTTGACTGGAGTCCGAGAAATTTCGTGACTATTACTCTGGCATCTTAAACAGTGTCACAAATTTTATGAACTTCTCCACCACCACCAGCCCTTCTTTCTTTGGAACAGAATCTCACTGTGAAGCCTTGACTGGTCTGGAATTCATCCTGTAAACCAGTGTGGCCTCAGATGCACAGAGACCCATTCACCTGCCCCTTCGTCACAAATTAAAGGCCGATGCCACCATATCCAGCTATTTTTGTTTTAATGTGTGTTTGACAGACACATATACACATAAAAATAGTAAGGCGAAAATAAATTAAAAAATTAGATTTTAAACTGGGCGGTGGTGGTGCACACCTTTAATCCCAGCATTTGGGAGGCAGAAACGGGCAGGTCTCTGTGAGCTTGAGGCCACAGAGTAAGTTCCTCCCGCCCCAAAACTTACTTTCACAACTATTAATGCTCTCTAGTAAGCTGGAACACTTAACATGGTCTCAGTATTTAGTCGTACATGGCTGCTGACAAAGGACTCTTTGCTACTGTGATCTGGTAGAGAAGTATTCCAACTTGGTTTCTGAGGCCAGAGCATCAGTACCGCGGAATTTACTGGGGTGAAAATGGTCACTTGCTATCTGGAGAAGCCTCCACTCACTGTGATGCTGTTGATTTATTTATTTATTTATTTTGTGGTTTTTTTCGAGACAGGGTTTCTCTGTGGTTTTGGAGCCTGTCCTGGAACTAGCTCTTGTAGACCAGGCTGGTCTCGAACTCACAGAGATCCGCCTGCCTCTGCCTCCCGAGTGCTGGGATTAAAGGCGTGCGCCACCACCGCCCGGCTGTGATGCTGTTGAAATTTGAAGAAGTTTTACTTACCCAACACTTAGTAACTGCCCCGCCCCATAGGCGGTTGGACCAAGGGTTTCAAAGGTGCCAGGCGAATGCTCTACCATTGAGCTCCATTCTCAGCCTTGCACACTTTTAAAACAAACAAAAACGTACAACTGAAAATAATACTGAAACAGGGCTTTAACCCTAAAGGCACTTTTTACTAGAATTCCGCTAAGAAATGTGCTTTTCCTTCAGGCTTTTAAGAGCAAGCAGGGGCAGGCTGTTAGTTAAGTCACTTGTCGCCCCCGCGTGGCAGATTCTGAATATCGCGCCCAATATCGTTTTTTTAATATTTATTTATTTATTTATTATGTATACAGTATTCTTTCTGCATGTATGCCTGAAGGCCAGAAGAGGGCACCAGATCTCATTTCAGATGGTTGTGAGCCACCATGTGGTTGCTGGGAATTGAACTCAGGACCTTTGGAAGAGCAGGCAATGCTCTTAACCACTGAGCCATCTCTCCAGCCCCCCCAATATCATTTAAAAACACAGAAAGGCACTCTGTGCTCCTCTCCTAATTGCCCCTATTTACCCCTCGCAGAATGTTTTTCTCCAAGTAACTTCAATTACGGTTTCAAAAGACCTAGTTTGGCACATGACTCTTTAATAGAAGATTCTCTAAAAATTCTCTTTTTTAAAGATTCTTCGAGAGCCGGGCGGTGGTGGCACACGCCTTTAATCCCAGCACTTGGGAGGCAGAGACAGGCGGATCTCTGAGTTCGAGGCCAGCCTGGTCTACAGGAGCTAGTTCCAGTACAGGCTCCAAAACCACAGAGAAACCCTGTCTCGAAGAACCAAAAAAAAAAAAAAAAAAAAAAAAAATTCTTTGAAGGGCATTGCTCTCATTAAAAACAACAAAAACAAAACAAAAAGCCAGGCGGTGGTGGCGCAAGCCTTTAAACCCTTCCCAGCACTCAAGCCTTTAAACCCTTCCCAGCACTCAAGCCTTTAAACCCTTCCCAGCACTCGGGAGGCAAAGGCGAAGGGATCTCTACGAGTTCGAGGACAGACTGGTCTCAGAGTACCAGGAGGGATCCAAAGCTCCAGAGAGAGCCTCGAAACACACCCTCAACCCCAAAAAATAAAAAGGAGGAAAATAGTTATCTTACCAACACCCAGGCCACAAATACCTATACGTGAAATTCTCTTAAGCACTAGAGTCAGCATAAACTGCAAAGGAAAGCATAAATCTAACTTTAAACTAGTAATAAAAAGAAACCACTCAGACTGCATTCTCCCCCTCCACTCTCCCAAAGAGAGAGCAGAACGATCATCAATGGCAAATAGCAGTTGCAGGAAGCAACACTAAGAGCCGGCTTCACGCTCAGGGGAGAATGCTCCGTCTCCTCCTCGTGGTTTCGGGTGCTCTACACAGTCAGAGAAACTTCTCTAGTAACGAACTATAGAAATGATCCCTGAAAGTATAGTCTTAAAGTTGTGCTCTCAACCGCTGCCGAGTCACACCTGGCAGTACATTTTTCACTAATGGTGACATTGGATCGTCCATTTCCCCCGCTCCGTCGCCACCGTGGGTGATATTCTCTCCGAAGAAATAGCACACACATGTATTTTCAAACTGATATACGTACTTTCCTTTGAAAAAATAAATTATTCTAAATATTATGAATTGTACAGTAACTCAGATTTAAAGTTCTAATTAGCATATTACAGACAACAGCCAATCACGCTAGTGTATTCAGGCAAACAAAACCGCTTCCGGTCCAGTTTAAAGATAAAGGGTGTGTGCGGGTTCTCAGATTACATTCTGTTGAGACTGGTTTTGCTTTGTAACCTTTGCTGTTCGATTTCCATCCCGCCCCAGTCTTCCCAGTGCAACATTCGGTAGCATTCGTGCTGGACGTGCAAGCCTATACTTGGTGCTAGCCAGCCTGGCCTTGAGTTTGCATTAGTAATCCTGCTTTAGCCCCTTTAGCAGCCGCTGGGGTGACAGCGTAGGCAAGCACTTCAGTTGACTCGAATTGGTTCTCCAGGTTTCAGTGCGACACACGAAGTACGTGAGGTTTAGTTTCTAAGATTCAGAGCTTAATCCAGCAGGGAGGTAGAGGCAGATGCTTGCGTGCATGCTCAGCTACTCAGAGTTCTGGGCAGCCTGAGCTCTACGAACCATGTTGTTCCAAGGGGCTAAAAAATCGAAATTCCCCAAGCTCGAAAGCTCGTAGTGTGCAGAGCCTTCACGTGGTTCTCTTGCGGACTCCTGGCGTGGCCATCTTGCTTTCTGGCGAGGCGTTCGTGCGTCGTGAGCGGCAGTAGCCGGATACGGGGCGCCGCTACCCGTATCCAAGATGGCGGCCCACGGTGGGCGTGGCCAGTGATGGCGTCTCCGAGCGTGCGAGCTGTGGCGGCTGCGATGGATCCGAGTTGGGAGGACGAAGATGAGGAGGAGGAAGAGGACATAGAGGAGGCTGTAAGCGTGGGTCGAAGGCCTTCAGCATTGGCGGTCATAGCTGTGCCAAGCCCGTTGGGGAAGAGAGTTCCGGATGCGGACGGCGGGAGGGAGGCCCGGAGACTGCTCGCTCTCTTTCAGACCCTGGGACACGAGAAGCGGGGAGCTCTAACCCCAGTACTAGTCTACCCATTCTAGAAAGAATAGAGATGGTCTTGGGGGTTCCGCGGGTAATCTGCTTCCACCAGAGACTACATCCAGTTTTCACAAAGGTGGCATCGTTAAATTGGGATTTGGGGCATTTCTGTTTATTGTCCCTTGCTCGCTGGCCGTGTACCATACTAACTTTTCTTTCTTCCGCCAGGAGCAATTTGTTCTGGTAGAGTTGTCAGGAATTATTGATTCAGACTTTCTCTCCAAATGTGAAAATAAATGCAAGATTTTGGTGAGTCTTAGAATTTGGGGAATATTGTAGATTTTTATTCTTTCGAGTTCACCAAAAGTTGTAGATTTTCTTTTTCTTTCTCCACTCCCACCCCCCCACACCCCCGTCTGTCTCTGTCTCTCTCTCTCTCTGTCTCGTTTTTCGAGACAGAGTTTCTCTGTGTAACCCCAAGGCTGGTATGGAACTCTGAAATCTGCTACTGCCTCCTGAGTGCTGGGATTGAAGGAATGTGCCACCACCACCTGGCATTTTTTTCTCAAAGTTAAAACAGGAATGAAGCGGATACACTTGTCCACGAAGATAAATATGCTCATTCCACCTTACAAAGCTTAAGGGACTGTTCCAGAGGAACGGGGTAAGGGGTGATTCTATGGAGTAAGGAAATGCCTGCTGCCTGAATGTATGGCCGGAGAGAATGTGAAGAACAAAAGATAACATTTTGTTTGCAACTTTGGACAAAAGCCTCATCCAGTGCTGTACCTAATCAGAGCCTGTCTTTCTAGTAGGCCTAGAAAGTTCCATCCTCCAGTGGTACCAGTCAAGAGTACTAGTCTGGTCCCAGACTCTGGTCTCAGTGTGGACATGTATACTGCGTGGCCAGGCCAGTTGCTCAGCGTCCACATTACCTGCTCCTCTCAAGTGTCTGCACATGACAACAGGCAGAGTCTTTGGTGTATCTCCGTGGCTCACACCCGAGCCTCAGCCATCAGACTATAAGAAACAGCATGAAAGTAGGCCGTCCTGGTACACCCTGTAATGTCAGCATTGGAGAGTCTAAGGCAGGCATCCTTAATGACAAAGTAAATTCTAGGCCAGCTTGAGCTACAGGGAGCCTTGTCTTTAAAAATCCTAAAGAAGCTAGGTAGTGGTGACACACACCTTTAATTTCAGCACTTGAGAGGCAGAGGCAGGTGGATCTCTATGGGTTTGAGGCTGCCTACTCTACAAATTGGGTTCCTGGAGAGCCAGGACTGTTATACACAGAAGGAAACCCTGTCTTAAAAAAAACAACAAGCCAGCCAGGCGGTGGTGGCTCATGTATTTAATCCCAGCACTTGGGAGGCAGAGGCAGGCGGATCTTTGGGAATTCGAGACCAGCCTGGTCTACAAGAGCTAGTTCCAGTATAGGCTCCAAAACCACAGAGAAACCCTGTCTTTAAAAAACAAACAAACAAACAAACAAACAAACAAAAAAACCAACAAGCCAGGCGGTGGTGGTGAACGCCTTTAATCCCAGCCCTAGGGAGGCAGAAGCAGGCTGATCTCTGTGAGTTCAGCCTCCTATACAGAATGAGAGCCAGGACTCCAGAGAAGCCTTGTAAAAACAGGGGCTGGGGAGATGGCTCAGAGGTTAAGGACACTGCCTGTTCCTCCAGAGGATCTGGGTTCAATTTCTAGCACCCACATGCAGTTTACAACTGTCTGTAACTCGAGTTCCAGAGGATTTGACAACTTCACACCAATTCACATGAAATAAAGTTTAAAAAAATTAAAAAAACAAAAACCAGATTTGACACATGTCTTTAGTACCAGCACTTTAGAGGCAGAGGCAGGTGGACAAAGAAACCCTGTCTCAAAAAACAAAACAAAAAAATAAGCAAGTTATAAAGTCTGTGATAATTGTCTGTACATAACAGGTTTCATCCTAATAATCTTATACATGCACATAATATACTTGATTATAGTCACCTGTCTCCCCTCAGCCTTCCTTCTCCCCAGTAGTTCCCGGCAAGGGCTGATGGAATAGAGGATGGCCGTGAACTTAGTTTGTAGCTAAGGCTGTTTTTGAGCTTGATTCTCTCTACTTCTACCTCTTGAGTGCTAGGATTGCCGGTATGTGCCACCATACCTGGCATTGCTTTTCTTTCTTTTCTTTTTTCTTTTTTTTGTGATTACATTTATTTATTTTTGTGTGTGGCTGTATGCGTACCACGGTATTCCTGTGGAGGAGGTCAGAGGACAGCTTGTAGGAGTCCTCTGACTCCGCCACAGGAATGTAGGTTCTGGGGACTGAACTCAGGGCATCAGGTTTGACAGCAAGCACCTACCTGCTGAGTGATCTTGGTGGCCCTTGAGATTTGTTTTGTCATGGTTTTTGCTTTTTTTGTTTTGTTTTGTTTTTTTGGTTTTTCGAGACAGGGTTTCTCTGTGGCTTTGGAGCCTGTCCTGGAACTAGCGCTGTAGACCAGGCTGGTCTCGAACTCACAGAGATCCGCCTGCCTCTGCCTCCCAAGTGCTGGGATTAAAGGCGTGCGCCACCACCGCCCGGCCTGCTTTTTTTGAAGACATGGTCGCATATGTGGCCTGAGCTGACCCACGATCTTGCCATCCTGGAACTCACTCTATAGACTAGACTGGTGTCAAGCTCAGATGGCCTGTCTCTTTGCTTTCCAAGTGCTGGGATTAAAGGCATGCCCCACCACACCTGATCCAAAGAGCCCTGGCTATCCTGGAACTTGCTTTGTAGATCAGGCTAGCCTCTGCCTCATGAGTGCTTCAACACACCCAGCTCCGAGGGCATTTTTTTGGTGGTGGGGGACGTTTTTAAGATGGTTTCTCTGAGAAACAGTCCTGGCTTGTCCTCACTTTGTAGACCAGGCTAGTCAGCGTGTCCACCTCTGCCTCTTGACTGCTGGGATTAAAGGTGTGCACCACTACTACCTTGCTTCAAGGGAAGTTTCTTTTTAAAGGTTTATTTATTTAATATATAGTGTTCTGTCTGCTCGTATGCCTGCAGGCCAGAAGAGGGCGCCAGATGGTTGTGAGCCACCATGTGGTTGCTGGGAATTGAACTCAGGACTTCTGGAAGAACAGCCAGTGCTCTTAACATCTGAGCCATTTCTCCAGCCCTCAAGGGAAATTTTCTAATGATGGTATTTTATGCCCTTTAATCTGTTGTAGGGAATTGACACTGAGAGGCCCATCCTGCAAGTAGACAGCTATGTGTTTGCTGGAGAGTACGAAGGTAGGAGAGTGCCGGATGTTCAAGCTCCTTTGTCATGTGGCTTTCAGAGTATTTCTGCCATCTTTCCTAATTTACCTTATATTTTCCTGCAGATACTCTTGGGACCTGTGTTATATTTGAAGAAGGTGTTGAACGTGGTAAGTCATTGCTATGCTAGACTAACTTTCTACAGATTATTTCAAATTTACTGTGTGTTTTGCTTTTTGTTTTTTATTTTATTTTATTGTTGCTTAATATCAGGTCAGCTGTAGCTCAGGCTGGCTTTGAACTCACAATCCTCCTGCGTCCTTAGTGCTGGGATTATAGCCTCGATACATTGTGCACGAATTCTAATGGTTCTTAATAAAAACCCTGAGCCAGATATTAGGGAGTGAAAGCTGAGAGATTAGAGAAGCAGTGCAGCCAACCACTAGAGAGATCTTCTACTTCTACAGAATCCTCAGACCAAAAGGACAGTCCTGTCTTCTAACTGTGTCCTCAGACTGCTGCCTCAGACGGATTGCTTCAGACTGCACTGAGCTGCTTCCGCCTTTTTTTTTACATTTTATTTTTTTTTATTTTGTTGATATTTATTGAGCTCAACATTTTTCTCTGCTCCCCTCCTTGTCTCTCCCCTCCCTGCTAATAGCTACTCTTTGTCATCTTCTCTATGTTAGTTCTAAAAGATTTGTATCTTATTTATATGTTCATTTGATCATTTGATCTTTACCACAGTTCAGTGAACAAGATATTTTCTGTATGTTTGGAAGCAGCCTCAGTACAGGGTGGCTTGGAAGTCTCTGTGTTTCCCAGGCTGGACTTAAGTTCTGCTATTTCCTGAGCCTCCCAAGTGCCAGCGTCGGTGCCATCTTCATGCTCCTTCATAGCTGGAGAAAGCATGGGTGTCAGCAACAGTCTCAGATTCTCACAGGAGTGAGTGGCAGGGCCAGGGTTTGAATGTTTCAAGGCTCACTTTCATTTTTTCTTAATGATGTTGGAGACTGAACTATAGATTTGCATATCCTCTCTCTGGCTGACTTCAGACTTGTGATCCTCCTGTCTCAGCCTTCTGAGTGCTTCGCTGTACAGCCATGCATTTCTTAATGTTCTTAACCATACTGAATACCTCACTGTGAACGTATGCTGCCATACATTCTTATGTGTGTCTTTGTGTGTACAGGTAAACAACTTTCTCCAAACCTTATATCTAGAGCTAGATTGAGCAAAGGCTGGGGTTGTAGCTCTCCTCTAGAACATTTGCTTAGCACGTGGGAGGCCTTAGCCACAATTACCCAGCACCAAAAAATGAATGTAAAAAGAGGGGTGGAGGAGAATAAAAATGGAATGTATGCTATCTTCAACTAAATGAGCAGCTGGAACTACATGAAATTCTAAGTTTGAATATTAGCAATAGCCGGGCAGTGGTGGCACACGCCTTTAATCCCAGCACTCAGGAGGCAGAGGCAGGCTGATCTCTGAATATGAGGCCAGCCTGGTCTACAGAGTGAGTTCCAGGACATCCAGGGCTACACAGAGAAACCCTGTCTTGAAAAACCAAAAAAAGAAAGAAAAGAAGAAAAGAATATTAGCAATAGCTGGAGTTCATATGGTTCAGATGTCTAGACGCCATTATGTTCTCTCCTGACGTGTAGCAGGAGCTCACTCTTGGCAGAGCAGTATGTGGAAGCCTCTGGTGTCTCCTGTCTTTGGTCCAGTGTCTCATTCTCTCACCTGTCTAGGTTTACAGTCTTTAAAAGTTGTAGTTCTAGGCAGCAATATCACAGCAGTTTCCCCCAGGCTTTTCTAACTGGGAACATCCCCACTCAATCCTCTTGCTTCAAGTAGGGCATTTGGTTCTGGTCCTTCATTTGGGTTATGGGATTGTTGACAAACTGTCCTGCAGGCCAACTCCTGACCTTTATTTCCCATGTTAGAGCTTGAGTCTATCCTGCCTGTTCCCTTCATCTCTGTTTTCATGTTTCTGGCCTCATGGCTGTTTGGGTCTGAGTCTGTTGTGCCTTTGAGTGGCAGTGTTTTCTGTCGTTTCTTTGCCTGTGGGACAGGAGTGGTGAATCACAGCGTGACTTCCCGTGCTGTCTCCGTAGGAAGTAGTTGAGTACTTGATGTGATGCGTGAAGCAGCATAATAAGATCATTTTATGTCCTAGTGGAGCCGGAAGGGACTGACAAAACAGTGCTCAAGTACAAATGCCACACAATGAAGAAGCTCAGCATGACGAGGACGCTGCTGACAGAAAAGAAGGAAGGAGAAGAAAACATAGGTTCGTTGACTTCATTCTTTGAAGATGGGTGTCCTTGGGCTGGGAACATAGCTAAGTGGTCAAGAACCCTTGCCCAGCGTTTGTGAGGCCCTTGGATCAATGCCTAGTACTAGCCGGATGTGGTGGCATATGCTTGTAATCCCAGTGCTTTTCAGGGTGGGGGAAGGCAGCTGAAGATCAGGGGTTCAAGGCCAGACTCAGCTACTCGGCAAGTGGAAGGAAGATGTGAGCTCAAACCCTGAGTCCCATACATTAATAGACAAAAGCAAGTGTGGGCTTTGGCAGTTGGTGATATGTTGCTGTCAGGATATTCCTTGGACTTACAGAGATAGCTATATTAATAAACTATATTAAAATTTAGCACTGCATTGGGTGTGTGGCTGTTAGGTACAATCCCAGTACTTGGGAGGCCAGGCCAGGCTCAGAGTTCTTCCTTTTGCTTTCGTACCACAGACTCCCATTGCCTTCCGATGTCCTCCTGCCCTTGCTCATGCCTCCCCGCCATCCCCTTTCTACTTTCATGTCCTAGAAAGTTTCCCTAGGAGGAAAGCATGCAATGTGTGTCTTTCTTATCAAGCTTATTTTGTTTAATAATGAGTTTTAGAGTTCTAGTTGTATCTATTTTCCTACATATGTCAACTTAATTCTTATTTATAGCGAAATAAATAAACTTACATTCTGTATTGTGTATGTACCACTTTTTAGCCAGGAACTCTTGCAGCCCAGGTTAGGTAACTTCTGCTCCTCCTCCTGTCACCACCTCCCTAGCACTGGGATTATGGATGCGCTTCCTCTCCCTTTCTGAGTGCTGGGCAATGCAGGCAAAGCTCAGTCCTCAGCAGCCTTGCAGGGGACTGGGGAGGCGGACACAGGAGGACAGGCTCACTGGTCAGTCGGTCTACCTGGATCAGTGAGTTCCAGGTTCAGGGAGAGACCTCTTCTCCAAAGTCAGGTGCAGACATTAAGGAAGATGTCCCATGTCTACTTTTGGCCTTTATACACACATGCACATGTATATTTGCACACATGCACATATACCACACACAAAGACATTAAAGTTTAGGATGTTATAAATTGTTATTGGCAGCAGTGGCTTGTACAGATATGGACATCAGAGGACAGCTCTGGGTCCGTTCTGTCATCCCCCTATAGGATCTGTGGATCAGACTTATATAAATCTCTCATGGCAAGTGCTTTTACCTGCTGAACTGTCTTCAAAACCCCATAAATATTAAATAAATAAGTAGACAAATAAATAAATAAACAAACAAGCCAGGCATAGTGGCTTTCCTTTAATCCCAATACTTGGGAGATAGAGGCAGACAGATCTTTATGAGTTCAGGGCCAGTCTGATCTACACAACTAGGGCTCCATAGTGAGATTCTGTCTCAGGAAAAGATGATGACATAAAATAAAATCATTTTAGAGGTGCTTGACCTGAAGTGAAGAGACTTGGGAATGAACTTGAGGCATGCAGGGCTGTATCCTCCCTATATGTGTTTATCCCAATGATGGATCTTTAGTATGGTTCTGTATCTTGGCTGTTGTGAATACTGCAGCCATAAACATAGATGTGCAAGTATCTCTGTGCTGGACCAGCTCAGCATCCTCCCACTGTGTATCTAGGAGTGATACTACTAGACCGTTTACTGGTCCTCTTTTTTATAAGGCATTGTCATATTGATTTCTGTAGTGGTTGTACAAATTTACATCCCCAGCAGCCCCAGTAACAGCTCTTCATCTGTGCCACATTTGTTTTGATTAACTGAAATTTTCTGCTTCGTTCTTATTTGCCCTGCTTATCTCCTGCCCTATTAGATGGCGTAGAGTGGCTGCAGATGAAGGATAACGATTTCTCCTATAGACCCAACATGATCTGCAGCTTTCTGCATGAAAATGAAGATGAGGCTGTAGTGCCGGCCCCTGACAAACCTGTGGAGTTGGAAGACGAAGAGATTCAGATGGAAAGCAACGCAGAGCAGACCCAGGAGCAGGAGACAGGGCAGCACTCGGAAGCAGAGGACCCTGGCTCTCCTGGAGACACCCCTGCCGAGACGGAAAGCTCTGTCTTCATGGGAATTCAAGATGGAAATGTTTCTCAGTCATGAACTTTTTAAAAAGAGGTCTTATATACAATAATTGCCGTGTAGCTTGCAAATGGCTTACCATTTTGTTGTTACTGTTGACAGTATATATATTTCTAGTTACAGTACATTTTAATATACTAGAATCATGCAGGACCAGACAGGAATTCTGTTTTTAAAAATATAACTTATGGGGCTAGAGAGATGGCTCCATAAGTTAAGGGCACTGGCTGCTGCTCATCCCAAGGACCTGGCTTTGATTCCCACAAGGCAACTTAAAACCATCTGTGGCTTCAGTTCCAGGAGATCTGATGCCTGCCCTGGCTTCGGTCGGCATCAGGTTCTCTCTTACCTGTCTGTGGGTTCTGGAAATCAAAGCCAGGTCATCAGGCTAGCGCAGCAGATGCTTTTCCTGTGGACCATGCCACAGCCATCTGTCTACATACAACCCCTTTAAAATATTGATGTGTATGTGTGAGTGTGTTTGTGTGTTCACCACAATCTTTCTGACCTGGTGCCCGAAGACTCCAGAAGAGCAATTTGGGTTTCTTGGAACTGGAGTCGGAGATGGTCATGAGCCATGCGGGTGCTGGGAACTGAAGCCCACTGCTCTCCAGGAGCAGTAAGTCCTCTTAACTGTGGAACCATCACTTGTCATTCTCCCTTATCACCACCCTCCTTTTGGTTTCCTGAGACAAAGTTTTGCTATGTAACCCGGGCTAGACCTAAATTTTCCAGCTTTTGTTTTTTTTTTCTTTTTTTTGAGACAGTTTCTCTGTAGTGTTTGGAGCCTGTCCTGGAACTAGCTCTTGTAGACCAGGCTGGTCTCGAACTCAGAGATCCACCTATCTCTGCCTCCCAAGTGCTGGGATTAAAGGCCTGCGCCACCATTACCCGGCCCAGCTTTTTGACGATAGCGAGTGTCCTTGTGTTTTAAAGTCATCTTGCACATAGACACTATGAAGGGCAGAAGCAACAAGACAGTAGGTTGGATTTGGAAAGCCGATGCTGCCCTAGACCACTATGAGTTAGAGGGTCAACAAAACCTCTTCCTGGAAAAAAGACCTTGAGGTGGTTTTGGGTTTCGTTTGAGTTTGGGTCTCACGATGTAATCCTGACGGACCAACAGGGAGTTGCCTGCTTCTGTCTCCTGAGTGCTGGAATTCAAGAATTCCCACCATGCCCTGCTGATCTTGAGTTTCCCTTTCAATACTTGAAGATGATAATGGAATGTCAAGTATGATACTATCAATATTATGATTAAAAAATGGCCCCTGGACTGGAGGTATAGCTCAGTGGTAGAGTTATTACCTAACATGCGTGACTCTTTGGGTTTGACGCTCAACACCACCCAAACCAAAAAATATCTGAACAAGGAAATAGACTGTTTGTTCCTATTAAGATGAGGAAGGCCTAGGCCATCTGCTTCAGGGCTTGTCGAGCATCTGCCTAGCTTCTCCAGCTTCTCCTCCACTGCATCTGTGCAAACATTAAAAAAATGCATATTAAACAACACAGTCTGGCTGGTGCGTGTGAACCACCCGATGTCAGTGCCAGGAACCAAACTCAGGTTCTGTGGGAGAGCAACAAGCACTCTTAACTGCTGACCTCAGATTGCTAGGATTGGCAAAAAGCACCTATACCCACTGAGCCGTCTCTCCAACCCAACCATGGTTATTTTTAAATTTTGTGTTAACACTCATTTCTAGTTTATTATATATATCATATAATAGGCAGCCAATAAATATGAAGGGATAAGAAAACCTTCTTGAGCCTTCTTGGTCAGTGATGGTGCATGCCTTTAATCCCAGGACTTGGAAGGCAGAGGCAGGCGGATCTCTCCAGGCCATTCTGGTCTGAGATTGAGTTCCAGAACAGCACCAGACAGAGAAACCCTGTCTCCAAAAAACAACAAGAAAGCAAAACCACCAAATGCTTTGAAGGTTGAAGTCAGCTTAGACTGAAGAGAGCTAAAAGGCCTTGTGATGTCTATTAATTAGAATGGAAGTAGAGACACAGATAAAGCAGGGCCAGAGTGAGCAGAACAACACCAACCCCTGCTTGGCTCCCGCGCTTTATCCTGGCAGTTGGGAGGCTGCAAGCTTGAGGCCAAGCCAGATTATAGTGTGAGATCCTGTCCCCTAAAAAGAGGGACAAAAAAACAAAACAAACAAACAAAAACAAAAAAACACCAAAAAAAAACAACACTTATTATTTCTTCAAAGACTAGAAGCTGTGAAATACTACAGACTCTCTTTTCGTTTTGCCTTTTGAAAAAGCCAATTATGCGCCTGGAGGACAGCTGAACTGATTCTCCCGGTCTTCCTGTCCTCAGCACTTCATTTTTACATCAGATATACGGAGTTTCTACCACAGACCGGTGCCCTGGAGGATGCCTACTCAATAGCCTCCAAGTTAGTCCAGTTCTGATACTGCCCAGGTCTCACAGGTTAAGGGCTCAGTTCCATAGGCTTGCCCATCTCTACATGTTAATCTCAAGTAGTGAGTTCCCCAAATTACCCACAATTTATGACTTGGTCACAAGCGGGATGTTCCCACAATCCTTTTCTTACTTTCAACTGCTTGCTAAAACAGCTCCTAGAATTTAGGGAAAGGACCTGGGAAAGTTCTGTTTTGTCTTGTGTGTGTGTGTTTCTGATTTTTCAAGATAGGATTTTTCTGTGTAACAGTCCTGGTTGTCCTGGAACTCGCTTTGTAGACCAGGCTGGCCTCCAACTCACAGAGATCTGTGCTGCTGCGATTAAAGGCATGCGCTACCACTGCCTCTTCCAGGAAAGTTTGTTTACTAGAATTTCTTGCTTATTTATTTTGAGATAGTATCCAGTCTCACCTTGAACTTGTTGTGTACTGAGACTGACTTAACTGATCCTCTTTGGAAACATCCAGATGGAGAAGCCACATTCACTCTAAGAGCCAAAGTCACCCTCCCAGAACTCCACATACCCAAGACAGAAACCACCTAAAGCAGGCAGAAAGTCCTGTCCTCGGGAGCTTTTATGGAGGCATCATTATTAAGCATGGTTGGTTAAGTCATTGGCCACATTATAACTCCAGTCCCTTTACACATGATGGTAAATCAAAGTGAGGTTGAACACGCCAATATTTTTTTCTACATTTAATCCCGATTGTCTTTGGTGACAGGCAGCATCACAAGTTCCACATCAGCACGGGCAACAGCTCTGTGCCAGCTATGGCTGCATTTCAAGATCTTCCCCACAAAACAACACACAAACGCACAGACAGACCTTAATACAGTAAACTAGGTGCCTGGCAGTGGTGGTGCATGCCTTTAATCCCAGCAGATTAAACTGTATTGAGGTCTTTTTTTTTTTTTTAATATATACAATGTTCTGCTTGCATGTGTCCCTGCAGGCCAGAAGTTGGCACCAGATTTTATTACAGGTGGTTGTGGGCCACCATGTGGTTGCTGGGAATTGAACTCAGGACCTTTGGAAGAACAATCAGTGCTCTTAACCGCTGAGCCATCTCTCCAGCCCCCTGTATTGAGGTCTTGAGGTATACAGGTCTCCTGTAGCCCAGGCTGGCATCCCGAGCTCTACATAGCCCGATCCTTTTGCCTTCATTTCCAAAGTACTGAAATGCCAGGCCTGCACCCCAATGCTGACCTCTTTGGTGTGTGTGTGTGTGTCCGCTTGAGACAGCATCTCACTGTGGAGCCTAGACTGGATTTCAACTTTCAGTCCTGCCTTGCTCTTCCTGAATTCCAGAATTAGTTTTACAAGGCTGTGCGGGTTCACTCGCTTTGTGAATGCACCCTAAACCACTAAACTGTACACATCACATTAAAGGGTGTATTTTATATAACTGTATGCAAATTATGACTAAAATTTGAGGGGAAATCACAATCAGCAGTATTCTCCGTATATCTTTTTCGTAGAAAGCGACCGGGTAATTAACCGGCCTCAACTGATCTCGCAGTTAAGCCAATGATGCCATTTCCATGCCAGTACTTTTTGTAATTATCTGAGTCCCATGCCTCCAACCTTTTAGAATTCTGGTTATTTCTCTGAAGGCGAACACTTGGTTCCCCCAAACACGGCTCCACACCAAGTCACTTAAAGCGTTTGCTTTTCAGAAAACAGCCAAAACATTCCGTAACCAAGGGAACAGAACGCTATGCCCTCCCACCATGGCCGCCACCGAGGACGGCGGAGCTAAGGAAGTCGTGTTTCGTGTTTCCGGTACCGCCTCTTCCGGCGCTAGCGGCGGCTTCGCGGAAGTGCGCGGTACACGTGTGTTTGCTCGGGTTCCGGTAGCGATGGACGCTTTGGATAAAGTCCTGTAAGTGTGTGTGGTGCGCCATGGCGTGGGGAGGAGCGGTGGGGTATCTCCCGCGGCTGGGCTGTTGGCTCTGCCGTGGTCTCTCCCCGTTATTGCGCTTTCCTGACCGGAGGGAAGGAGCTGGCTGATCCTCCCGCCCGGGTCTGCTGGAGAAGCCCTGCAGGCTGACTGCGAGCTGTGGGGTGGAGCTAGGACCACAGCCGTGGCCGGAGCCCAGGGCTCACGGCGCCGCCACGGATGGATTGTGAAGTGTGGACCGAGTTAAGAGTACAGGCCCGGAATCTGACAGAACCAGGCGGCAAGCCGGCCTCAAAGTTCTGTAACTGAACCTTTAAAACTCTTGAATTCAGCGCACCCTGTAAAATAGCTGCCGTGGTAGTCTTGGCAGTGTTTGCCATAACAAGTACAGAGCTTTTATTTTATTTTTTTCCGTCTAAATTTGTATGCTTCTGCTTGTCACTGAGGAATAACCGGTTACGTTTGCTCAAAACTAATTATTGTTACAGCACTGGACGTTGGAGTTTTCCGCCGCCCCCCTCCCCGGTTTTCAATAAAGGGTTTCTCTGTAGTCCTGGTTATCCTGGCATTCGCTTTGTAGATCACGCCGGCCTCTTCCTCCTGAGTGCTGGGATAAGTAAAAGTCGTGCGCTGCCTCCGCCCGGCTCAGTTTTCTGCTTTGTGAGTAAATGTGCCGTGTACACGACAGTTTCTGTTTGGTCAGTAGAATTTTTTTTGCACCCGCTATGCCTCGCTAATAGAGTAAGGTGCAGTTTACTGGTTGATTACTGGTTAGCGAGATTGAAAAAAAATCAAAACAAAACATGAGCCGTTATTGCTGTATAAACACAGTGTGTTTGATTCAATAAAAATCCATTTTGAGCGACCAGTAAATGACTGACTACTTGGTTTAACCCGTGGCGTTTCATTGAAGGAGAATTTCTTAGTTCTTTGTGGGAAACTAAAGTATGTATATTGTTTTTCTTTCTGGTTTTTTTTGAGACAGGGTTTCTATGTAGCTTTGGAGCCTGTCCAGGAACTAGCTCTTGTAGACCAGGCTGGCCTCGAACTCACAGAGATCTGCCTGCCTCTGCCTCCTGAGTGCTGGGATTAAAGGTGTGCGCCACTACCGCCCGGCTATATATTGTTTTTCTTTTCCCTCTGTCCCTGTCCCAAGACTGGAAGATGAGGGTTATATTTAAGAGAGGAGACATTTTGTTAGCAGATGACAGAAAACTGTTTGAAAAGTACCATGTTTACCATAGAGGAGGCAAAGTTGAGTGCTTTCTTCTAAACAGAAATGTATAATCTCCGAGGCTAGAGTCACGCTCAGGTATTGATCCTTGCCTTAGTGTGCTAGAGTCCTCGAAGAATAACTGCTGACCTTATTCACTGGCTGTGGACTTTCTGGCACGGTCAGTCACCAGGTTAGTGACATGCATAAGAAGAGAACCTCAAAGATGTGCTTACGGGGAGGGAGGCTCTGAAGGTGCTTGCCTCTCCTTCCCAGTCATCCTGGTCACTTAAAGAGGAACCAGAGCTTCTGCCCAACTGTCACCCTGGATAAACTGGACGAGCAGATCCGGGTCAACGCTGCCAAGAACAAGACTGGAGTTGCTCCCAATATTGATGTCCTGCGATCAGGCTACTGCAAAGTTCTGGGGAAGGGAAAGCCAAATCTTTCAGCAGAAGCGGTGCCTATGTTCTGGTGGCTTGAAGCCACTCAGGGAGGCCAATTAAATGCTAACATTTCAAAAAAGAAAGAAATAAAGAAATGTATAATAACAACTTATTACTGCCCCGCCATAAAAATGCAATAACAAATTAGGGTTTTTTTTTTTTTTTCTTTTGAGACAGGGTTTCTCTGTGTAACAGTCCTGTTTTTCACAACTTGCTTTGTAGACCAGGCTGGCCTGAACTCACTGAGATCCACCTGCCTCTGTCTCTCAAGTGCTGGGATTAAAGGCATGGGCCACCACTGCCTGGCTAGGTTTTTTGTTTTTGTTTTTTTTTTCTGGTAATGGGGGTTGTAGATGGGTTCTTAATATTTAGTTCATTTTAACATTGGCCCGCACACACACACCGGACCTTGGGCATGTTGCTTTTCTAGTCCTAGCTGCCTGATTAGTTAAGAGCTGTAATGACAGGCATAAGCCACCATGAAGAAACATAGTAAGTTAAAAATAACTGTTC